GTGGGCACTCATGCCTCAGGGAAGCTAATTGCACACAAACCCTCCTTGCTCATTTCTATTTCTTGTATAGACTCTTTGGCTTGGGTTTTTGGTCCTTCTGGAGATTTTGCATAATATCATGCTCTTTATTTCAAAAAGTAATCCATTTTTGTTGAAAAGATACATAAAATAAATATGGGAAACAAAATCAGAAAATTGTAAATCTTCCTTTCGAAATAACATTTAGAATGTTAAGGAACAGTAATTACACATCCTCTTACTAACTAGCCAATCTTTACGGCACATTTCCATATATCATGGGTATGCTGTGGGGATGGGTGGGTGAGTGCATGTGTGTGTACATTTATGCTTCCAACTCAGCTTGTATGCCTGTGGAAATCAAAAGTCAATGAAAGGTGGCTCCTATCACGCTCCACATTTTTTAAAATTGGAAGTAGCTCTTTCATGAAATATATTCAGATCATAGGTGCCCCCCCATTTCCTCCCAGATCCTTCTACCTCAGCCTCTCTTACTGAACCTATAACTTGCCTCGTGGCTAACCTGGCTAGCCAGAAAGCGTCCTGGATCTGCTTGGCTCTGCATCTGCACTGACAGGTTATTTATAGGTAGGAATACCACTGTTTGGATTTATCAAGGTTGCTGGGGGTCTGGACTTAGGCATTGATGCTTCTGCTGTAAACACTTACCCCATTGAGCTATCTCTTCAATCCCTTTCTGTAAATGTGGGAACACAATGTGCAGTTGTTTCTTAAGCTCTTCCAAAAGGAATTAAGCTATAGAGTGTTAATGAGATAAAACTCGAATGTGTTACATTAGCTACTTTATTCTTTTGTATTATTTCACTTTGAACAGCTAAACCTATAAATTTACATCTATGTGTTACCTTGCTTTTAGTTTGTAGAATAAAGAATTTTATTCTTCAATCATGCTTAGTATTTCTTTTCTTTGTCATGGTTTCCTTTATCTTTTGTAATAATTTGGTAGACAGTAAACTAACTTTATTTCAAATATATGCCCATCACACAAATTCCATCCCATTTGAATCAGGAATCTTTCGAACTACCTTACATATAAACAAAACAGCTTAAAAAGCTGACTGAGATGTTAATTTAACAAGTTGGGCATATTTCGTTATTCTTTTCCTTCTCTTTCAAAGGATGCAGACAGAATCAGCATAAACAAAGAGGAAACACAGACACCATGTGCACGACCATCCAGATTGAGAGCTGGTTCAGATTGAGGAACATGTGCGATTTCTTTCCAAACCCACGCCTTGTGTTTATCCAAGTTCAAGTTTTTCTTTTTCCTAATTTGAGGAAAGTTTTAAAAATTCATTTTCCCTTCACGTCTTAATGCATTGCATATAAGTCAATCCGTATTTTCCTTGCACTTCCACTTCATCCCTCAGCGTGTTTCACAGTCTTGGCATCTTCTGAAACTACATGGCTACTGTGGAATTTTGAATGAAAGTTGACAAGATACAATCCTTGTCTCTAAATAAATATAGAGACTGTAGGTACATAATTAGGTTGGGAAGGAAAGTGATGGGAAAGATGGGGGAGAAGTTCGAGGGGAGGGAATTTGTGGTGGTTTCCATAAGACATATTATATGCAAGCATCAAATTCTGATACCATGTACTTTAGATACAGAGCACAAAGGCCCCTGAGATAAAGCTGATATTAAAGTCTCTTCTCTGGGGAATATCTTTCATAATACCAGAAAGCACTTAGGAGGCAGAGACAGACATCTCTATGAGTTTAAGAACATCCTGGTCCACATATTGGGTTCCAGGCCAGCCAAAGCTACATAGTGAGACCCTGTCTCAAATAAACAGACAAAAGAAATGACTAAATTTGCATATAAAAGGTAGAGAGATAGTATCCTTTTATTGAATGTCCACATGTGTGTATATATGTATATAACTGATTTTGTACTGTTCAAATGTGTAATATATTTGTGAAAGAAGAAAATAATTTAAGTCAAGAGGATGATGAAAGGGCAGAAGTAATACTTGAGATAAGCACTTCACATCTTACAATTAAAACTCTTCTGTGTCTACCTGCAAATTCATGACAGATGAAATTAACTTGTTTTCTATTCGTTTTCTCCTCTTATTTCTGCCAGTATTATAATTTCAGGAAGGAACATGCATCATAAATTACATGTAACTTTCATGTTGCAGTGATGCTGTTTTCTATTTTTGATCTCATTTGACAGCAGTAAAGTCATACAAAAAATAATAAATACCTCTCATGGAGCTTGCCATTTCCTCTGCATCTTTTTTGGGGAAGAAGTGGCCTGAAGAGTAGAGCGTTAAGACTCACAAAGTCAAGAACTTTCAGATAGAACCCAGCCATCAATTGCAGCCACAATGGGTGCTGAATCCAACTTCTTGATTTGTTTTTAAAGGTATTAGGAATAATATTGATTAGCACTTGTCAGGTTCACAATCCAGGACCTAATACAAGACACACCTCAGGTGAATTTCTGAGAGATTATCCATATTAGTTAATTGAGGAGGGAAACTCTACCTTAATTGTCCATGGGACCAGTTCAACAGCTAGAGTACTGAACTGCATAAAAAGGAGAAAGTGACCTGGGCAGGAACATGACCATTCTCTTGCGCCTCGCTGCAGAAGAAATGTGATCAGCCTCTTTAAAGTCCTGTAGCAGTGACTCCCATGCCACAATGAACTGTAGCCAATTTCATCATACTGTCCTAGCTTCCTTTCTCTCTTTATAATACTTTGTACTGATGTGACCAAATTCTGAACCCTCAAGTCACCAAGAAACCCATTCCAAGGCAAAAGCAAACAGACTTGTATTATTTAACAAGTTAATGCCATCTACTCCGGTCCTTCATACGTTCATCATGGTGGGTGGAATGAGAAGGACCCCAATGGGCCATGAGGCAGGGAATTTATTGGGCACAGCAAGGGGAGTGTCTAGGGTCATTGTTAGCTGACTCAGAGTGCAGTGCTTTGCCTCGAATCCTGAGCGCATTTATTCGGCTCTTAAGGTAGCCAACCATGCCTGGGGGGACTGTCCTGCTTCAATAGCAGTAAAGGCCGAACAATCATGGCTGCATTGTGACTTTGTGTGACTCTAATCTTACATAGAAACCACAAGCAAACCAGGGAGACAAACACCAAGAGACCTGTTAATGCTCCTATACCCGCCCACTCCTTAAGATGGTTCATTGTAGAAGTCAGCCAGGACGATAATCCCGATGCAAAGGAAAGGTCCACTCTGGTGGAATTCACATGGACCACTGCCAGCCTCAACTCCTTCAAAGTATCTTCAAATTCAAGTGACCAATTCTGTAAAAGAAAACTGGACAAGTACTTAGACAAATTTGCCGCTTTTGTAAAATTGGCATACTGAACAGATGACAAACTGCTCCAGTCACTAGGTGTCATACAGTGTCTGTTAAGAGCCTCAACCTGAGCCAGCGTAAAGGAAGCCGTTATGCCATAAGCATGAACTGACTCGGCCAAAGACTTAGACTGGGTAGCATTTTAACTGGCTAAAATAGGCCCAGGTGGTGTGAGGCAGCTGGAGAAAGCTGAGTAGCATTAGTAAGGTAGCGATTCACAGACTCAAGCTAAGTGCTTCCATAGAGACTGGATTTCATGAAGGATTGAATGTGGGGGATAAGGATGGATGAGGTCCCTACCATTCTGGGGAGCTGAGAGATGGCCAGAGGACCCCGGTTCAACTCCCAGCACCCACATGACTGTTTCTTATATGAAGTGGACTGCTTCACTAATCACAGTGGGAAAAGACATGCCAAAGCCTTCAGTGAGGGAGGGGAAAGCAGAACACTGATACAACAGTGGAGGCTTATGGGTACAGAGAAAAGTAGGCGCAAGCAGCCAGGCTAGTTTCTAGAGATTGAAGTCATTGATGCTCAAATTGGCTACACCTGGCTGCACAGTTTGAGCCAACCCATCTGAGCCTGCCCAGCAATAAGCCAAGTGAAGAAACACCTGAGTGACCCTTACATTAAACCTGGACGCTGTTCATACCATGGGGATCATGACAAAACTCAGAAATCTGTATAAGTCCTTATTTCAGGGTCTGTAAGACTGCATCATCTTAGCTGTTTCAATTGTTGGAACACCTGGCCCACTGCTTCCTGGGGTCTTTGTTCATCAAACCACAGAAGCCTGGAAGGACAAAAACTCCTTTTCCAAGTAACATATCCTTATACTTAAATTTTGAAGTCAAGGCATTTTTAAAAGGTATAAGTTGAATTAATGCAGCAGCATTTATAATCAAGTGTACTTTAGTAGTTGTTCCTTCCTGAGCAATCAAAAAAAATGAAAAACACAATAGCGTACAGTATCCAGACTTTCTGTGTATTTTCCATATTGTTAATCAAGATCTCTCCCTAACTTCCAAAAATCTTAAATTCTTAGAACGAAGCAGCTAATTCAGAGCCAAAAAAATTGGGTGCGACTGAGAAGTGCCCATAGCCAAACTAACAATGTTTCTTTTAAGCTTTTACTTTTGGTTCGCTGCTAGCCAAACTAACAATGTTTTACTTTCGGTTCACTGCTTTGCAAACCGTTAGTCCCGCTCTCTCTTTACCTACAGAGAAGAGCAAACCAACCCGCTCTTGTCCAGGTCCTTTTTTTACCCCGCTCTTGTCGAGGTCCCTCTTTTGTCCCACCTTACCTTGGGAACTTACCAGCACACTGCCCTGACTGCAGAACGTTCTGAGCCGATTGGAGAGGGTCCCCGTACGGGCCACCACTTGTGACCACCTCGACCAGCAAGGAAGACGCAATGCCCAGACTCTTCTTTAAGCAGTTTATTCAGGAACCTTGAACAATCTTCTGACCCCGGGGGAGCGCCAACCCACAGCTTAAAAGACCTTGGGTAGCCAACCCCAGTATGCTTCGTGGAACATGCAGATAGGTCCACGTATGCGGAAGCAAGCCTGATATCCAGCCTTAACCAAATACAGGTGGTGTTTATCACAGAGAGCACTTGCTGTTGGGCTAGCAGAAGGCAGAAGCCAGCACCATCTTAAGGGTGCGGCACTTCGCAGCTCTCTACATAACAGGACTGTTACACATAGATGGAGACAGCATACACAAGACCTGGAGAAGGCTAAGCCAGACAAAATCCCAGCACTGAGAAGGGGAAGAGGACACAAGGTACCATTTTAACCAGAAAGCTATTTGCAATTGATATCTGCTGAAAATTGGAAAACTAGTATTTTTTTTTCCCAATGCAGCAACTTTAGGTATGTCAACGATATCCCAGAGCAGGCCCAATTCCAGGAGAAGTTATCTAACACATAAGAGATTTCATGGTTTCCTTTCTTTCTTCAGTGTGTGTGCATATGTGTGTGTGTGTGTGTGTGTGTGTGTGTGTGTGTGTGTGTGCGCGCGCTTGCGCATGCACAAACACTTTATCTTCTGACTCATTTTAGTATTTTTCCTTATCGATTTTCTTTATTTTTAAGTTTGTGTATTTGGATTTTAGTATTTTGGCTTAGGGGGACTGTTATTGTTTCCTAATTTTTTGAGACAGAGAGGGGAGGGTGAGAGAACAAATGAAATTAAGGGAGTAGAGAGGAAGGATGGATGTGTGGAAAATTCCTTTACACTCTGTGAATATATGTCACTGTGATTTGTTTAATAAAGAAGCTGGCCGGGCGGTGGTAGCACACGCCTTTAATCCCAGCACTCGGGAGGCAGAGGAAGGCATATCTCTGTGAGTTCAAGGCTGGGCTGGACCGACAGCCTCCAAAACAATACAGAGAAACCCTGTCTTGTAAAAACCAAAAAAAAAAAAAAAAAAAAAAAAAGCTGACTGACCACTAGCTGGACAGGATAAGGTTGGTGGGAGAGCCAGACTAAGGACACTGGGAAGAAGAAGGGTGAAGTCAAAGGAGTTGCCAGCCAGACACGGAGAAGAAGCGAGGTACAAAATGAAAGAGAGGTAATGCCAAGTGGCAAAATGTAGATTAATATAAATGGTTTTATTTAACTTGTAAGAGTTAGGTAGTAACAAGCCTGATCTATTGTCTGAGCATTTATAATTTATATTAAGTCTCTATGCATTTATTTTGGAGCCAGCAGTCTCCACAAAACCTCCACATACATGGATGTGGAAGGAGTTAGGTCCTAGAATGTGATCAAAGTATACAATAAGAAAAAAAACAACACAAAGATGTAATAAAACTTAGACTTTATTATTTCTTGAGAGAAACTATTGTATTCTTAATACATGCCTCAACATTCCTCTGTTGCATTGGAATTCCATTGTTTTTCCAAGGATCAATTCATTTAATTGTTACCAGTTTGATTGAGACATCCATCTGCTGAGTGGTATTTTATTGAGAACATTCCTTCCATAAGGTACTGAATTCCTCATAGTCCATCTCAAATATCAGTCTGCTAACTATCTTCAACACCATAATGATGTAACTTCACAGTCTCTCTATCTCTGTTCATCTCTGTCTCTGTCTCTCTTTCTCCTTTCTTTTAAAATCATCAATTATAAACCATTTTGCCCAAATACTCTTGAGTACTGGACCTACAGCCCTGGAGAGTGGCCAATCCACCAGGAGTCACATGATTTAAGAAAACTGACTGTCCCTTTTCCAGCAGCTGTCTATTGTCAGTAGATACTTAAGTAGCGGGCAGGACTTGTGTCTGTCTCCCCAACTCCTCCATGCTTGGATGTTGTTTGGCCTGAGCTTTCCCAGACCATTTATGCTAATACAACCTCTATGAGTTCATACTCACAACTTTCCTGTTGTTGACCAGAAAGCAGTTTTCTTAAGTTATCTACCACCTCTGGCTCTTACAATCTTTCTGGCCTGTCTTTGGTGCTGATCCCTGAGCCTTAACGACAAATTTTACTTTCTGTAGAAAATGAAAGAAGATTCTCAACCCTGAAAGTGATTTTACTGAAAAATTAGGTATTTGTATATGCTGTAGTCTATGATGACTCAAATATGGGTATTTCTTTTACAAATGAATGGAGACATTTATGTGAAAATAGAATATAATTTTTATTTTTAGTTGTAGAGATAACAGTTATGAAGTTAGATGATTTAAGTAATTTTGTCTTCTAATAATCAAAATATGTATTATGTGCTTTGGAAATTGTATGTATAGCTCAATTCTGTAAAACTTTGCTTGCTGTTAAGAAAGGTGAGTAGATGAGGTCATCATTTTTCTGGATTCAAATTGATCAGAATATCATTATAATAAAATGTAAATGCATTTTGGCAAATAAAAACCACCTGACATAGCACACAAGCCTTTGATGCCTAAGGAAATCACTGAGAGAAGTTCATCTCCATCGACCACCTCATCCATAGTGATTTTACTCCAGAAATGGATTCTTATCTAGACCTCCAAGTCTGAAACAGAAACTTTTCTCTGAAAATGTTCCCAAATCTCTTCACTTTGAAATCCGTCCATACCTCACTCAGTAATTCCACTTGACCAGATCCATTCAGTCAGACTGTACTACTGTTTCTGTTTATCACTCTATGAATAATATAATTTCCTAGTTTTTGAACCATTAATGGACAATTACACTCTCCTAAATTTGAAGTAAGGAGGATTAAACTGATGATTCTCCAACCATCTGAAACATAGGCAAATTATCAAGGTGACATTTTCTATGACTTATAACCTCCTATGGCTGCGAGTAATGACTGGGCATTTTTCAGGCTTTAGATGATCCTTGGCTACAGCAAATAACTGTTTTTTTCTTTTTTCTAGTTATAGGTTTCCAGGCTAAACATTTAATTTTGTAGCAATTGAAAGGTTAACAGATTCTGTTGAACAAGAGAACTGCATTGCAGTAATAAGAATCTGTTGCACTTCTACTGAGTAATGTCTAAATAGAAAGAGCTTGACATGTCAGTTACCTGGTATAGAAGTTAATATGAGAGAGTTTTACACACATATATCCTCTTTGTTTTCTCTGCCTTTTCAATTGTATCACAAATAGGAAACTGTTAACCTTTCAGGGCCTAATCTATAATTCGTATTCTGGCCAACAACTGACTCACTTGACTGAAGGTTTTCTTGATAAAAGCTGCAAAGAACCAAGCATTTAATGGATGCTCACAAAAGAAGGCTCAGCTTGCAGCACTCACGTCTATCTTACATTAGAAGACTTTAAGATAACTTCATAGCAATCAAATGTCAAGATGCTAATAAGAAATGCCAGGTGTCCATGTGAGTAGATGACAGAATTACAGCCCTGAATGTCACATTTTTTCTTTCTTTTTACTCTTTTTGAATGTGAAAAACACAGTGAATGGACGCCTCCAGAAATAGAAACACTGTGCAAACATCTGTCTGAAGTCTGAATGTAAACTGTTCTTTATAAAGCCATCAGCTATGTGTTCCAACATAATGAATTTTAGTTTACTCTGAAAATATTCTAAGAAAATATTTTAGCAAGGAAACAATGTTTTTCATTTGTCTCTATCTCATTTACATGTATGGAGAAAGATGGGGCTTCACTATGTGGCCTGGCTGGCCTCCTCAAAAACTGCTGGCAAAATAGACTTATGTCACAATACTTGATTTCCCTTATTGTTTTTGTGATATTTCTACTTGTGGTAATGGACAATTTGTTTTTAAACAATAAGAAACTCAGAATTTTGTATCTCATTCTTTTTAAAACTTTTTCAAAAGGATTTTTTTTTACTTCTGAATTTATGTAACAATTCCAGTATTTTAAGGAATATGATATATATGTGCCTTTACCATCTCTCACATAGAAACAGAGATATGAATGGGTAGATTATATTTATTTAAAGCTATAAGGTAACTTGGTTATCTTTCATAATCCCAGATCAGCCTTTACTTTTGATATTTTATTTCCCTGAATGCACCGTTTATTTTTTTTATTCATGTCAAATTACCTGATGGAGCTGTAAGTTACATGTGGTCAGAAATCTCATCTGTCTTTCATTGCATATCAAAAACCACCAGAGAAATTATCTTTTTTATTTTCAACCAAGTGACTAATTACATTTTATATTTAACCAAGTGACTAATTACATAAAAACAGAGGTGGCAGATCTCTGTGAGTTCGAGGCCAGCCTGGTATACATAGCTAGTTCCAGGACAGCCTCCAAAACAATACAGAGAAACCCTGTCTTAAAAAAAAACCAAAAATAAATAAATAAATAAATAAATAAATAAATAAATAAAAACAAATAAGAACGTTCCACCTTGTATAAGAGGTCACAAGGGTTTTTACAGTTTGTGTTTGATCATCCATCCTAGAATGTTTTTAAAGTCAATATTTAATTTTTGCATGTTTGTGTTTCTTGATTTCTAGCTAGCCTTCTGAAATAGAATCCAGTTCTTGCTAGCATGCTAGCTGATACACAGAACATAGAATTAAACTCTGGGCATTCTTTTATCCACTGTTTCTTTTACAAATTTATGGACAGAATCTGATTAATCAAAAATTTTAGGTTAACAGAGCCATCAAAAGACTCACTTAAGAGCCGGAATTCTCCAAGGCTATGTCTTATGATTAGCACCAGTTTCCTGTTGATGTTGTCAAGAGTCCTCTCCACACCTCAACTCAATTTCTTGCTTCATTGCTTTGAATCCCTATGGGGCTGCAGCAGTTTAAGGGATGTCAACAGGAATACTCTTGTTCTCTCAGGAATTTGATATAGAAGGCTAAACAGCTACAAGGCTGGCCAAATTAATGGGTATGGAAATGCGTGACTTAAGTGTTTAATAAATACATAAGCATCTCACAAACCCCAGGGAATGGCCCTCAGCGTTATTGAATTTGAATGACATGGAGCTTACATTGGGGTAATTTCTTTTAAAACAAATATACAATGATTTTTAATTAGGTATTATAAACAGTAATTTGAATGAAAGGAACTGAGCTATAAGGTAGTACTCTGGCAAATATGTCTGTGAATATCTAGGAATTTCAAGTGAAAAGTTTTGTAGTAAATCTTTTTTTTCTACTGCAGGTATTTAATATAGAGTAGTGCTTATATAGTATACTTCTCATAAACAACTCTGTTTCTTCCTTAATATGTGTTTATGCCTCATTCGATGGCTCTTCACATTGAAAGAAGGACGTAGAGGCACATTCTATGATGTGGAAATCAGTGGAACACCAGGTTACCACTTCTATCTTA